GCTTTCAATTTAATGAAAATTGAAATAGCACTTCAAGAGTGTTCTCAATGATTACATTTGTAATAAGAAAAACTTAAATCCAAAGCGTGTTGGATTTTTATTTTCTTCCCTTAATATTCCTTTTCCTTTCTATCTTTTGACAGTGACCAAGAAAGAGAAAAGGAGAAAACAAAAAAAAAAAAAAAGAGAAAACAATTACTTTTTTAATTTAAAGATTTAGAAATGTCTCTAATTTCAGCCAGGAGTAGATGGAGAGCCATCACAGCTCACAGAGCACATCTGTGATAAACTGACATTGAACAGTTTTGCTGAACAGATAAACTGCCATATTCTAGGTAAGCAGAAGATTCAAGAGAGCTTCAGGAAAATACCTTGCAGCTATCCAACCTAAGCTAATTCAAGAGTACAGCTTAGAATTTTGGCAAGTAATTTTTCAACAAAAAGTAGAAACTGAAAAATTTCTACTGAAAGTAGAAAATTTTCCTTGGATAATTGCTCCGTTACATGCTTGCATTACATTGCCTGCACTCCTTAGGGCCTACAGTACTGACAGATTTACGTGTTGTTCAACATGGCGCACCAGAGGCTGCCAATAACAGACAGTGAATATTAAATATTGCATGAAGAGCCTCCCTATCCTGCGGTTATTACTCGAAACAGTGAGCACTCTAGTCACCCTCAGTAGTCTTTGTTCAGTGGGCAGGCACCACAAATGGCGGGCACCAAACTGGCTCCCAGAGGCTGTGCTGCCCGACACCTCCGATGGCCGGGCAGACTCGTGCTGGCGTCCTTGCTGTCCGCCGTTCCGACAGAGCTTGGTCGTGTCCAGTACATCCTGACAGACCAGCTGTCGGCATTAAAGCCATCGAGTTTGTTGTAACGAGCTAGGTTTCTTGCCCATTGCTGGATCAGAAACTTTGGCCTCTGGCTGCTACCAAGGCCTGGAGTGCCAGGACACGGCCGGCTCGGCTCTTTGGGCACGCGGGGCCGGTGTCTCGGCTGGCGTGAGGGCTGAGGGCTGGGCTGCTGGGCTCCTGCCAAGCATCGCACCCCGCTGAGGGGACTGGCTCCGGGAGCCCCGCTTTCCAGGGCTGCACTGAAGCCATTCTCTTGTGAGTCTTTTAGCCAAGTGAAGTCTGATGGTTCGTAAGAATCTTTAAGGGAGAGGACAGAAAAGAAGCCGGAGCCGCTCTGAGGTGAGGGACGACACGTCGCTGGGGCGGCCTGGAAGCAGCAGGCAGCGCAGAGGTGGTAGCGGGGCAGATATCTCAGAGGCCTGGAGAGGGCAGAGAGCCAGTTGGCAGCCCCGAGAGAGACATCAGGGGACACTTTTAAGTGGAGAAATCTTAAGGAACCGTGCGAAGGAGAATACGACGTTGTGTGCAGCAAAGCCAAGAGCTGCCGCAGGCGACCTGAAGATGGCGCCGAGGCAGCACGGAGGGGGAGCGCTCGCCCGCCAGAAACGGTGCGGCTGGAGCGGCTTGTAAGCTTCCCGCAGCCTGGCCGTGGCACTGAGGTAGCTTGGAGGAAGGGTTTAGAGAAAGCCCTGAAGGCTGAAAAGAGATCAGAGATGGCTCTGGGAGAGTTTGTAGGCCTCGGTCAACCCCAGGTCGGCACTGAGAAGATTAGCACCTCAGGCACCTGCAGTTAGAGCCTCCTACCTAACAGATGGACAGCTCTTTGAGACCCTTGCTCTCTAGAGACTGCAGGGGGATCTGCCCTGTTTTTTCCCTGCTAATCACACTACAAATGGTATGTTGGTGAGGGGAGAGGTGGTTAGTAGCCAGTTGCAGTGTTCTGTTAGCTGTTGAGAGCAGCCAGAAAGGTTGTGGAGCTGTTACGCTATGGAGGTTAGAGTCTTGCCTCACAGACATTGTTCATTTACTACTTACTGGCTGTGCCAGCTAGTTCTATGTTTGTATCTGTACCCTTCAGCTCTTTGCAGTAACAAACTTAGATTCAGTGCTGCCTATGAGGATCTGCAGCAAGGTACTGATACCTCCTGGAGCTCACAGTGTATGCCTACGTGGACCTACATGCTGCATAGCCATGCGCCTATGTGCATTACTTAGAGGTAATTGCCAAGTTCTGAGGAGGCTGGAGAGAAGAATCGCTTCTGGATTCAGTAATTGTGTTAGAGCACAAATGTGTCTGAAATAATAAGCCTCCTTTAGAGGCAGTCTAAGACCTATTATTCTGACTATAAGAAACTGTCAGTTCTAGCTTATCATTTCCGTATTGTCAGAATCTTTCCAGTATAAAGGTGTCTAAGTAGATATGAGCTGAACACCTCTAGATTCTCATGAGGCCATTACTTCTTCACCTGTGGAAAAGAATAGTGAAAATTGGTATATTTTTTACTTTTAGTGCTTGCAGGTGCTATGTTGTTAAGGGGATAAGTTGCATCTGCTGTCCTGTGTTGGGACGTGGAACAGAGAAGTGGATGAGATCAGAGGACATTGTGCTTGCTGCGTATGCAGAAAATATGGGGAGCTATGTAAAAATAGTGACAGCTGTATCTCCTGACCGGCTTCTACCACCAGCTTTCCATGTTTATCTTTAAGGCTGAAGTGCTACAGGCTAGCCTTAAAATTGGCTGTAGAGTCATTTGGTGATTCTGGTGTTGCGGGTCTGTTAGATAGCTAAGAGGAAGAGCATATTCCAGCCATGTGTTTGTGTTAAATAAATAAGTTTAGATTTTAACTGTACATCTGCTGGGCAGTGCACAAGCCCAAACCTGCTCCTCAGTAGCAGGAAACTGCTGGTCAACTTGCAGAATCCAGTCACAAGAGGCATTTTTTCCATGTGTTGAAGCAGGGGGCAAGGTGCATTGCCTGCTCTTGGTAACCTCTCTAGTACATTTTGGCCACCTGGCTGACTCATTGCATCTCAAAGCAGTTGAAAAGTGAGGAAATTTGAGCAATTGTTTAAACTGAAATGTTCAAAATGACATAAATCAAGCTGCTAAATTTACGGTGTAAAAGCAAACAAGAATTTGACACACACTTCAGCCATGCTGTAGGTAGCATCCATAGTCACAACTGGGTTCTCATTTCTTCGTGACCCTAATCATCACCCTATGGAAAGGTTAATGTTTCATTTTACATTTGACTTCAGAATGTAAAAAAAAAAAAAAAAAAAAAAGTCTTGAGAGTTTCTCTCTGTGAGCATGTGGGCACTGGTCTTTCCCCTTTCCCACTTTTTCATTTAATTATGGACAAAGTCTTATATTCATTGAAGTAAAAATATAACTACGACCTTGTGTTTAGATGACTTAAGGGCACACAGCTACAATTACCTTGACATATGGGTGAATAATTTCCCTAATGTGATCACATCAAGTCCTTGTTTGGTGGTTTCTTTAACTTGATTAAGATAAGTTGTGTGTCATGAACTCAGAAGATATGAACAACACAGGGAGGGAATACAAGGGGTTCTGAAAGGAAGAAGACATAACAATGGCTGTAAGATGATGAGCCAATGAGGAGTGGTAAAATGAGAGGACTGTCATGGGAAGCTTAAGAGGTAACTGACATACAACTATAGATGGTTAGTGTTTGCCTGGACCCAGATCTCAGATCTGATCCAATTGCAGCCCAGTTCTAAGGGAAAAGGCTTTATGTCAGTCCAAGGATTCTGGTGAATTGTGCTTTGTGCGCATGGTTTGTGACATAACCAGTAGTTCTTGATGGAATTACAACCACTCTGCTCACACTCACCTGCTATTTGCTCTGCATTAAGTTAACAATAGTAAATAAACTAAGTATTAGATTTCAGGCTGACCTGTTCATGCCGAATGAATTCGTCTTGCCCACAGGCTGCCCTAATTTAAAACATATGGATCCATTTAAATCCTGTTGCTTCCATACATGTTTAGATTTTTTTCTCCGTCAATATTCTTCACCGTTTTGAACACATGTAGTTTGCTGTGGGTTTGGACTAAAAGTGTTCTCCGATATAGTTTTATATTTATGTGTGTGTTTGTAAGATGATGGAGTAGAAGTGAGATGGACTACAGTGGCATTGTACACTTATAACTATCACCTGAAACCAACAGAAGACACTTTGTTCTTGTACAAGCAAGGCTTTCATTAGAATCAAAGGAAGTTTACTTTAATTGCAGGAAAGATGGGGTCCTTGTTTAGTAAAAACACAACTGAAGTCAGGAGAACTATTGTATGTTAGTGTATTTCACATACAGTATAAGTCTCATAGAACACAGAGTTTTCAGTTTTTCCCAGACTTCTAAAGGCTGAAAAAATTTTGTATGCAAAATAGAATTTCCCTAAGAAGAAATTAAAAAATCGGAGGCTAATGTCAGACTCCAAAGAACATATTTAGGCTTCTAAATAAGTAGCATGGGCTTTTCACAAGTGCTGAGTTCTGCTAACCCCCACTGCTCGTAGGATATAGCTTCCAAGGCTGAGCATTGTTTGACTGCATGTTCTTGCAAAGAAATACTAAGAATATGCAGTAGGTCAAAGTGGCTCCTTATCTTTGTGCACTGATAAGGACTGCTGTTCCTCCTAGGAAACAGTGTCTTAGAAGCGGAAGGCTGCACTTCTTATCACTCAAGTATGTGCCATAAAGGGGTAAAAATAGGGACGCTGAGGATAAGAAAGTTGAAACCAAGGCACCTGCTACCCGCAGAAGGAAACCTGGGAATGAAATAAGATGGAAAGTCTCTTCTCTTTTGAATACTTGTCCTGGTTTGAGCCAGGATGAAGCCACTTTTACTGCAAATCTTCACTTACAAGAGTAAATTTGCCATAAAAACCTCTAATATACAAACTAGGTTCCATTTACTGAGTTTAGCAGAAGTTCAAAATGTCAGAATTGGCTGAGAAAATTAGTTTTAAATACCTATTAAACATTTACATGGCATCCTGAATCCCTATTGAAAGTCTTTTAGTTTGTGACCTAAACAGAATTGATTAGACATAAAGTTGAAATAAGGTTTTCCAATTGTACCACTGTTTCCAAATAATGCATAGTTCATTCAATCTCACAATATTTTAATCCAGTTTGCCATCATATATAATGCAGGCTATTTTCAATGATTGCTATTCTTTAAATGCTGGTTTTCCTTTAAAACAAGCAGCAGCAACAACAACAACCAGCCCTATTCCCTGCTCCAAACCTTGTTTGCAAGGATTTTCATTTGCATCACTAGTGTACAGATTTACACAGAACAGGAATTCTGCCTTGTATACTACCTGCAGCCACATTCTGCCACTTTCATCCCTTCGTAGTTATATATCAAAGTGGGCACACCAGCATCATCCTTATAAAGAATGGAGATTGAATCCAATTTGGTTGGAACGCAACAGGCCTTTGAGGCTTTCTTCGGGTTTTGGAGGTGCACCAGAGTTTGGACAATAGCATGTTTTGTTGGGGTAACATTATCTGTCAGAGGGAAGAAGCAACCTCCTTTACACTCAAATGCTTCATAATCTTTTGGTGCGATGATCCAGGAATCCCAGCCAATCTCTTCAAAGTTCACATGGAGGGAAGTTCTCCGGCAGTGGTTGACTCCAATGCTTCTCTTGCTTCTGGAAGAATGCTGGTGGGGCCCAGTGATGGCCTTTTCCTCTCCCTGTTCTTCCTCTTCAGATGAAGTGGTGTTCTTTCCTAATTTCTTTAGCGCACTTTCTTGTTCATGAGCAATCATCTCCCGAAGCTCCACTTTGGTCTCTTTTGTCCCGTTGCTGCGGTCATTGGAGAACACTATTAACAGGGGCAGATTTTTAGTGTCAGGGGTCACACTGATATCCAGCTTCCCACAAGTAAAACCACCCAGAGCCTTACTCTCTATAACAACCTCTAGCTTGTTTTTAGTCTTCAGTTTGTCTGCCCTGACCCATCTTTTCACAGCACTGGACACTTCAAATATCTCCCAGCCACACTTCCGAATATTGTGAGAGACAAGGAAAGATTTGGTACTTTCTGGGTTTTCCCAGTAGTCACCATCCAAAACATCATAAATGACCATGTTGCCTTCCAGCCTAGAGAGAGATCCAGCTTCCCTGTTACAGGAGATATAAATTCTCAGTTCAGCTCTGGTGATTTCCTCATATCGTGGAAGAGAGATGTTGAAGAGCAAGATGTGTTTCTGAAATGGATTTTCTTCTGGTGAAGCTAAAGAAACAACATCTGTAATAGGAAATTAAAACATGTGGTTACAGTGTTTCTGACTGTCAAAATAACTTGCTTTTAAAGACTCAGGATGTATTTTGGGGGTAAAATAAAAGCATGGCTACCCAGCATTAAAAAAAAAAAAAGAAAGTACGTTTTTTGGCCAAGTTTCAAGAGCAGGGAGTGAAAAGTTGAAATTAAGGTCCCTTGTGTTGGTAATATTTTCACTAAGGTTTCATGGTCTCGTGAGGGTGTGGAAGGGATCAGAAATAGTCCATCTAGAACAAGCTGTGGTCAGTATTAAGTACACAAATAAGACATCTGAGTGTTCAGATTTAGCAATTTCCTAAAGAGATTTTTTTCTCCAGAAATTCCTAAAAGAATTCTATGAATTTGCTACTCTTATGATCACACAATGGTTGGAACTGTCCTCCTAAGAGATAAATATTCTATGGGACTTCTGCAAGGGCATGTAGTGATAGGATGAGGTGTAATGGTTATAAGCTTCAAATGAATAGATTTAGATTAGATATTAGGAAGAAATTCTTTACTGTGACGGTAGTGAGACACTGGAACAGGTTGCCCAGGGAGGTTGTGGAAGCTCCATCCCTGGAAGTGTTAGAGGCCAGGTCAGATGGGGCTTTAAGCAACCTGGTCTAGTGGAAGGTGTCCCTGTCCATGGCAGGGGGTTAGACCTAGGTGATCTTTAAGGTCCCTTCCAACACAAACCATTCCATGATTCTCTGATTCTATATTCAAATGTCTCTAAGAAGCAGCTATGCTGAGGCTTTTGCTGTTGTCTTCAAATAACTTCAAAAGCACCTAGGCTTACTGGGAGTTTGGGGAAATTAAGTTTTTGGAAATCCTGAACTGAAGCTTCATGGTTTGTTTATGCTGGGACTTAGTGATAAACAGCCTTTCATGCCCAGGTCCCAGTGTGTTCCAGGCTGGATTCACTGAGCTTGGTGTTGTTGGTTTTTGGATTTTTTGTGTGTGTGCTTTTTGTTCGTTTGTTTTGTGTGTGTTTGTTTGTTTCTTTGTTTTGTTTTGTTGTTGTTTTTTTTTCCTGCAAAGGTATGTGCATTACTAGCAACTCTGCCTGATATTTCGGGGCAGATATTTGGCTGGAAGATCAGATTGGTAGTGCTTAAAAGTAATCACTGACTGATGTCTATTTGATGGTCAATATAAGATAATTACTCAGTCATGCTTGGGTTTTAGGGCAATTTTAATTAGCTATTGTTGGCATTTCTTCACAGCACTTACCCACTAAAGCAGTCAGTGAGGAAAATGGGAATTATAATCCAGTTTATAGTGCTAAGGTTTCTTTCTATTTCAAGACTAGGGGCACTAGTTTGGGAATTTCAAGTTCTCCATAGTGCTATTACATCTGTATTTCTATTTTTTATATAAACTGAAGCTTCACTTCTACCTGTCTCACTTTTATCACAAGGATTGTGATTAATTCAACCTTTTTTACTGCTGCTTTTGATGGAATTTTAAAAGGCTATGTAATGTTACACAGACAGGGATCTCTAATTTATTTATTTTTATTATTATTATTTTTTTCACAAGTTTAACAAGCCATTTCCATATAAATCTTTCCATCTAAATGAGAATTTTGGAGTAGAAGTGCTGTTCCTTGCTTGGATCTAGAGACAGATTTCTCAGTTGGCTGCTATGATTTTTAAGTATGAGAAGAGCCCACCTGAAAGATTAGCTCTCTAGCATGGATGTCTCCATTATAGATGATAAAAAGTTTGCATTCTAACATTAAAACTTAGTCCCAAATCTCTAGCTTTAGGAAACATGATTCATGTAAACACTGTTATTCAGTGCATCATCTCAGTTAATGCATTTGAAAAGAAAATACTGTACAGTAAAAAAAACCAAAACAAAACAAAGAAAACTAAAGGGAATTCTTATTTTTTAAAGATTGAAAGAAGCATAGAGCAAAACTACAATCCATAATTTTAATCTGTTTTGTTTCTAAAGAATCTTTGGAAGTTATGCACTAAATTCCCTCTGAATTTCAAAAGAATCTGGGTACCTACTGTCCATGTACTTCTTGAAAAATTCTAATCCATATTTTTAGGTTCTTCTCCTACCTTCAGTACTGAAGCTCCTTACAATATTGGATGCAGGGATGGAGGACTTGTCTGCAGTGTATCTGTTGTATAAATCAATCATGAATTGTGGTGGTTCTTCTTTGGTCTTCACTTGGGAGGGCACTCGTGACAAATTCAAACTCCTCAGTAAATCTATCTTCATATTCTCCAGGAAAGATTTAAAGTCGAAATGAGTCTCATCTTCCACTTCCCTAGGATCATGAAAGTGTGCATCAGACTTTCCCATAGCTGATAACTTGTCCCAAGCTTCCAAAGGCTTTCCTCTTGTCAAACAGGCAATGATGTTGAAAACAGACAGTGCAGCTAATACTCCAAAATAATGCATTCCTTCTGTATTTACTTTCTGATGGAGAGACGAGAGAACAAGGGTATTTTAGCTAATTAAAAATCTTCTTTCATTGCACACAGGGGAAAGGAGATGGAAGGCGAACAACTGGAATGCCCTTTGCAAAACACTTTCTTGTGTTCTTTTTGCAGTCTGCTTCAAACCCCAGCCTCTTGTCAGTTGTCAAGCAGATTGGTTGTACACTTGCCCTTATCAGAGTCATTGATGCCATGCTTCAGCTTTTGTTATCTAACACAGCTCTTAGTTAATGAAGATTCTATAAACATTTGACAAACACATGTAGCTGGGGGAAAGGACATTGTATATTGTAAAGAATCCACATTTCACTTTAGGTCATCATTGCTTAATTAAACTCTTCTATCATTTCCTTGCCAACACAGAGAGAAGTTCTTTTAGGGACGTGGAAGATTACACTGTTTTCATCAAGACTAGAAAATAGAGATCTAGAACAAAGTTACTCTATTAGCTGTTAGTAAAAAGCATCTCGCAAATCTTTATTACAGTCTCTTAACACACCATCAGAAAATCCCTGATCATTTGATGGAGACCTGTGATTCTGAAAGACATGATCTCATGACAGTACAAACAGCCTTAAAACTTCTTTCCATTTATCAGTCAAGAGCTATTGCTTATACACAGTGAAATATCTGTTTTGTGTCAAGTTGGCTTCATGTTGTTTGCAGGCTTGTCCATTTTCTGTTTGATTCCTTTTGTGTATGGGAATTTAGTCTTGTTTTTATAGTATCTCATGTAATATATTAGATTCTTGATGGTCAATCTAGTCCAAGAACAACCAGTTATTATTTGAGTGACCTCAAAATGAAGACAGAACTAGGCCTCCTAAGGCCACATAAAAAGCAGAAGGTCTTGGTAAAATACAGAAGATCATCTATGAAGATACTGTTATCCATGAGAAGAATATGTCAAGACAAAAATACTAGACTGATGATAAAATTTTTCATGATACAGAAGAAAAAAATATCTATTTATAGGAAAAATATCCCTTTCTATTTATCTTAATGAATGCATTAGGATTTAATCTAAAGATAGATGTTTTATCTGTACTATTAATGTATCATGCTTTTCAAAGCACATCTCAATCTATACTATACACATGCCATAAAGTCTGAATAGTATTATGAGCTTTTACATAAAAAAAAAAAGACAATGATGCGGACAAGATTTTGCCTTTTCTTGGCCATTCTTCTCAGGTTTTCTAGCAGTGCATACACATACACAGACTTCTTAAATACTCACTTATGTGTCTTTTCAAATATCAATTGGGATGCAAGATTCTGGTTTATTATCTTCCTATAGTGTAAAGTCAGAAAGGATTATTTGGCACTGATCCTGGTCTCCTGCATGGCAAGACTGTTCTGTTTTATTCAAGGCCTTTGTGTTTCCTACCTGCATGTAGTAGTAACCCAGTTACTTGTGTTTGGCTAAAACATAACTTTTTAAGGGTCTTCAGAATTTACATGAAGATGTCAAAGGTTCAAAGATTTCTTCAATTTTAGTAGCATTTAATGTAAAATATCATAACTTACAATTAAAAAGCCATGGTACTTAATGTATTATTTCATTGTGCCTGGCTTCACCTTCTAGACAGGATTTCCTGTAACTTCCTGCTGGCTTAAGGAGCCTCGTAGCGCTGGCATTTTCTCTTCTGTCAAAGTACTTGGACAATTTAAACAAGTTACTTCTCAGTCTATGTTCTGATAAATAAACAGATTGTGGGTTTTAGTTACATGTTAAAATACATTTTCTCTAATATCTTTCATTTTTTTCATTTCTCTTTCAGAATTTTAATGTCCTTTTGAAAAGGTGAACACATAATTTTCTAGCGCTAGTCTACCAGTGCCACATGCAGCAATAAAATCTCTTTTCCATATGTGGTTTACCACTCCAGTGTGTGTCTTTTCAAAGTTTTAATTAGCTCTCTTTATACCCTGGATGCTCGTACTGTGCCAGAAGTTCATGATGCACACTGAAATTGGTTTAAGAGTTATGGCTTGCAAGAATGTAGTCATACTCAGTGGGAGCAAACTCTATTCCTTGTGCCTAGGTACTAAGTTCTGCATCTGCCTACCTTAAAATGAATTTTGAATGACCTGTATAAATACCTCTCTCCTAAACATTGTCTTCTGCAAGTGCTGTGTGTGTTGTTATATATAGACTTCCAGTTCATATATAAAGTTGACAAATAGTGCCAGGCCTAATGTCAGCTTTACAGAAACTTTACAATGAACAGTTTCAGTCAGTGGCAATTCCTTTTGAAAGCTGCTTTTTATTGTTTGGCAGTGAGACCGTTGTGAATTCATGTGATACACAAATATATTAATATTGTTCAGTGGTTTCTTTTAATTATGCAGCCTTGTGCAAGTGAATTGAAACACTCACAAAAACCTAGCTATGTTTTAGCTGTTGCTGTTACTTCTGGCAGTTAAACTGTGGCCTCAGAGAATGAAGCTGGATTTGTTTTAGAAAATAAATAATGCTGGCTGGTCTTAGCTGTTTTCCTGTTTTATCTGTCTTTAATAATATTTAATTAATATATCCTCAGTTCTTTTAGGATTAATTAGTGGAATTATATTGACCTGCTGTTTTAAGTGTTTGGCAATAGTAGCTTTCTCTAGAACCTTAAACACTGAGTAGAATTTTTTATAGGATGTTCACAGAAATCAAAAGATCTGTTGGAACCAAGAGAGTAAGGGTATCATCAGCTGACTGCAATTGTGCAATTTTGAATGCAAATTTCATTTGCTAGACAAAGATTAGACATCTAAATACCAAAGACCCAGACAGTAGTAGCCACTTCTAAAAAAATAGTGGTTTAAGACCTTGTTCGCTTTGAACCGTACAGCTAAACTCCAAACGGAATAAATTTTAGTAAGAAGAGAATTGTATTGCTTCTGTAGTGAGGGTGTGCCTTGAGAGCTATGCTGCTTACAGGTATAACTTTGTTTTGACCATGCTAAATAACGAAGCTATGCCAATAAACCTTTAACTGCAGACCAAACCTGTCAGGGTTTTATAGATATCCTACTGAGTACAGGAGTAGTATTTTTCCTTATGTCCCATAGAGCTTGTAACAGATCACAGGATGGTATCTTTGTCCTAATTGCTTGCATCAGCATATCCTGGAAAGAAGGTTTGCACCCAAGGACTAATTAAAGATATAGAAAAGTTTTCTTAAGGAAGACAAAATGCAATATATGAGAACATAAGCACACTAGGCTAATATGTCATCCTCTTCAGAGCTGGTGCTAAATGGAAGCAAGACTAGAACTACAGAAAAGGGTAGATTTTCATAGAGAAAAGAAATTACAATGACTTAAAGATACTTTGAGAAGTTTTATCTTTATGGCTGTTCCATAGGAATTAATGATTCATTTCTTAGAACTTTTTTTTTTTTTTTTTGTATTAACATTACTTTGTCAAATGTAGTCAAGTTTCTAATGATTAATAAAACATAAGTCCCTAAATTTTTAAGTGAGATCTTTAACAGCAACAGTATAAAAAAGTTTGTCCCAATAGTTTCAGTATGAATCACTGTAGTGATTTAGGAGACAAGAAATGTCTAACTGGACCCATAATCTTTTGGCAGTCATAACTAGCAGTTCCTACAAGGTACCTTAGAGCTATACACTTCTTATTGAGAGCTGTTTAGGAGGAACTAGCAAGATCTAGAAAGTAACCTTGCAGACACTCCCATACACATGGAATCTTACTTTTATGTAGGTTAGCAGGGAATATTACACACCTCTGTTTTCTGAGAATATGCACCACATGAGTATGGAATATCAGTGGCAGAAATTACTTAGCAGCTTAGCAGGATAAGGAGCCTTCCAGTCAGAAGGTAGTGTGTGTAGTATCCTTCCCCTAAATGATACAACTCTTCATAGGACAAGATAATGCAGAAGGTTAGACTGTCTCTTGAGGAGGAAACACTCCATATCTTGCACTCTGTGCTACTTTATAGATTTCAGAAGTTTGTTCTGCTCCTGATCTGCCTATGCTATTGTACAGCAGGTGAGTGAAAATTGAGTATGTGACAAGTGTGTCCTGACATGCAGGGACACCAAGAAAGAGGATTAACAATCATAGTGCTGGAACATCTCTTGAAGTAGTGTTGCAGTTCCAGGGGCTACCATGAATGTATCAAGAGAGGATTGTACAGGAATTGAGGGATGCATGTACTTTATTTCTATAAAGACTTCTAGCAGAACCACTGCCAAATATTGTGCCCCATTTAGATGTTCATTGTTGGAAAATAAAGTTAATGAAAGTTCTGGAAAGAGTTCAGAAAAAAGCTGTGAGAAATAGTTTTGAGGCTTAGAATAAGAAATCAAAGTACCTATTTAAATCTTAGCCAAAAATGTAATTTGACACTGCTCTATATACTGAAAATACACAGTGGAAGTATTTTGGATAATAGATAAAAGGGATCTAATAAAATGGGTTACAGTAAGATCAAGTGAACTGAAGCTAAAGCTCAACAAATTCTGACTAGGATTAAGCCACTGCATTTGAACAAAGAGCACTAACTTTTGGAACAGCTACTTGTAGTCCAGTAGAGGTATTCTATCACATCTTTAAAGCTAAATTTATGCATGTTTTTCAAAGACATTCCCAAGCTCAAAACAAAAGTTCCATAATGCATCGTGCAGAAACTACCGGGCAAGGTTCTTTGATCTGTGCTATGCGGGAGGTTGGTCTAGATGATCATAGTATTCCCTTCTGTCTTTAATCTATTGAGGTGCATTATGACAAGCTTAACATGTATTTACATGTTTCCATATAATTACAGAATGTAAGAGTGCATTTATAGAATGACAATTCAACTATTTTTAGATACTACTGTACATTTAGTTTATTAGCTTTTGTTAAAAGCATGTAACAATCTAGAGGATATAAAGTATAATTTACAAAAATATAAATCTTGGTTATTTTATTTTTAGTATTTCAACATATTACCATATCGTATGTGTTACTCAGAGAATGCATTTAATAACCCAGAATTGGGGGATATTGAGTATCTTTTGTTGAACAAATTATATATTAGGGAGGGGTAACCAAAGATGGCTATATTAACATACTGTTTATATGAAAGTTTATGCAGTGCACTACACTTGCATCCTGAAGAAAATACACATTTTAAGCTCTTTATTACAGCATTTTCAGTATAAATATGCAGATTAAAAGTATGAGTTTTTTAGGCAGAAGATATTGACTTTTGTACAAAAGTGATATCCTAAAATAAGCCTGACTTTTCAGATTCAATTCCCATCTTCTCAGTTAACTGAAGAGATAAAATGGTCATAAAAGTAGCATATAAAAACATATTTTAGTCCTTTGGTTATGGAAAACTTTACACTTAAATTTCTTGCTAAAAAACAGGTGTCTTGGATATATGGGTTAGGAAGGCATTTGTAAAATTATTGAGTTTCTGAGAGATGAACATGAAAGACTGATAACGATGGTAAAACATATCTTTCAAAGTGAGCACGTGTATTGTTTTAGTCTCTCCGCATGCTTTCTGTAGAGGAATTGTAGACTTGCATTCATTCAATCAACACAAGTGGATTTCCCATTTACAGCTTTCCCATTGTAGTTGGGCAGATGTGTAGATCTTATTAAAGATGTGTTTGTATGAGCTTATCGGCAGGCGCAAGTTTCAACCGACATATTGGGATATACCTTTAAAACAACATTTTTGTTCTCATCCAAGAACAGGACACTGAGTGAGCTCATTTTATCAGGAACGCAGCAGGGTTCTGGGATGCCGGGAATGATTCCTACTGCTTTTACGATGCTCTGGATTGTAGCATGATTTGATGGCCGGACAATCTGGAACAGAGAAAGAAACAGTTATCGCATAATTTATGTGCAGTTACTTTTCCAGATGGACTTGGAAAAATCCAACAATTACAGTTCCTCAAAAAGGAACTGTTTCTCAAAAAAATGAATATATGTGATTGCGTTACAGAGCCACGCACAATAGTAAGTCCCTCACAATTCCAGCTTTCCTGCCCAGGGTATATCCTACACTTCGTGTTCCTTATGCTGCCTTCATAAAACCAGAGGAGGGCACTGGTGGCCCAGCCAGCAGTCAGTAGCTTGGAGAAAGAATGTCCCAGATTGCACCTACTAGGTGTTGGGGGCAGGCATGCAGGAGAAAAGGAGTAAGGTGTGGCTCTCAGTCATAAGATGTTATCTTTTATTTTCTTAACCTCTCATCTGACTTGGAAAATTGGCTACTCTAGGTATTTCCAAAATAACTATCCCTATGTTCCAGTAGTATTTCTCATGTAAGCTAACCTGGAATTAGTCACTTTCCCCTGTAGTAATTACTGTTTGAAAAGAGCAGAGTGCTCCGCTTCAGAAGTAGAGTCCATAGGGGGAAGTCAGTCTAGAACAATGAAGCAATACAAAAACTATCTGACCATAATCCCATGACAAGCAAGTACTTCATACCTGCAGCTTTTCTGCTTCCCTCTGCCTTCCTCCCTAGACTTTCCCCCATCCCCCTGAGCTAGTGTCAAAGTGGGAGAAGAGCACAAAAGGCTGGGAGAGCAGGAAAGGTATGAAGTGAGGTTTCACAATAGCTTTACATCTATATGTCTCTACATCTCAGTTCAAGGGTACTGAGCAACAATTTTATTTCTACTATTGATTTTTAGATGCAGTAAACAATACGCGGAAAAATATTTTAGAAGTAGAGGAAGCCATGAGGCATAACAGCAGTGAGAATAAAAGGAAAAAGTTAAGGTATCTAAATAGTATATTGTTTAGTAGTTAAAAGTAACTTTTTTTTTTTTAGCCTTTATTCACAAGCTACATTTGATGCTTGTAGTCTGAGCAACTGAATAGTGCCAAACAGTTTTCACCATTTCTGTTTCTTGAGGTACATACAACCAAGCACAGATTTACTGGTGATGGAGTGACAGCTTTTCTCTGTCATTGCCTCAGCATAGTATGGAATGAGTGTGCTCCCATTACATGAATCAATAGTATGGCATGCCATAAGGCTGAAGCTTCAGTGACTCCTGTTCAGTTGCCATGCTTGAATACTGTCTCAGAAAATTAGTACAGTAACAAGAGGAAAATTGTGTTAGGCTTTTTCCTACAGTTTCAAGAGCTTACTGCACAGATCTGGTATATGTGGCACATAAAGTCTTTCATTGCTATTGGTACATAGCTGTGTATTGGTCCATAGCTGGTGGAAAATTACATCTGTGGGACAGTAAATAAGGATTTTGCACACCACATGGATGCAGATACTTCAAATGAGAAGAATTAATGCCTCATATATTCTCTGTTTTTCAAATACATAATTGAGTATATGCACTACATGATTTTTCATTTCAACATGAAAAGTTGTGTAGTCCATAAGTATAACAAAGGAGCTATTTTTAGGGTAATTCAGTTTTGAAACATTTGCTCTAAGTGTAACATATCAGCAAATAAGATCCAAACATTAATTGCTACTAAGGCTTTCAGATGTTCCTTAACTAAATTGACTTTCTTTGAGCTATTACAAGGAGAAACTGTGAAATCCATCCTTGATCGTTCAGGGCTTCAAGACAGCATCCTTATAGCCAAATCTCCATGAGTGACCCATCCTGGAAAGTGCCTTTCTGTAATTATCATATTTTGCTATAATTAGCAATAGCTTGTTCTCCTATGCCACTTGTCTGACGTACAGTATGAACCTGCAGAAGATCCTACTAGGATCTTCTCTAGCTGTGCAGTATCTAACATCTGCAAGGAACAAATAGGTGTGAAAGAAGTTTAATGTGAGCAGCTGTCTACCAAGACAACAGCAATAATTAGGTATCTAATGCCTGCAAATGTACACACTATGCACAAAAATGTTTATAGAGAAAAATGCTTAATATAGACTATTAGTCTGTACAGAATCTGGCTGCCTGAGCCCTATGTCTGCAGCAGAGCCAGACAGCACAGCCATCCTACATCCAGCCAGGCTCCAAGTTTTCCAGCTCTTCTGGAAACCTGGCAGAAGTGTTTGGCGATCATGGGCTAGGCTTCACATTAGCCTTTGTACAGATGTGCTAAAGTGGAAAGCTTGAAGAACAAATGCCCAGTAATGATGGCACTGAGGAAATGCCGATGTCTTAAATGCTGGCTACTAAGTTACATACAGCAGGCTATGTTCTGCTCTTAACCTCTAGGATATCCTAGCTCAGGAATATTTTTGACCTCATAAAATAAAAGGATGGTGATGAAGCCAAAAGGCAATTGAACAGCAGGTTTAAAGCACTTTTGACCTTCCCACATACTTCTATCACACATAGGACTAGCATTTATCCAGCAAACTCAGCAATGCAGCTAGTGATTATTAACCATATAAGCTAGTCTTCTCCCTCACAGCTCAGGGAATAAGAATTTCAGCAGTAAGGTAGGTGAACTTGTGACAAGATTTGTACCAGAGCTGTTTTGTATCTAGATCAAGATTTGCAATTCTTAAAGTAGGTGAGCAGAATGATGTACCAATACTTGGAAAAACATAGTAATACACTGTGATGATTTTCAACATGCCAGGCATATAATTCTACCCCCACAATTCTAAAAAGGTGCCTTGGAAGTAAGGTGTCTATCACAAGTTGACTGTCTTCCTGAATAGCCTTAATCTGGCCTTTGATTTAGGAGTGCCAAGATCATCTGCATGCTCTCCTGATTTAGACTATATAGGCAAGAACAAAAGCTGTTTTCCCCTCCATAATATTTAGCAATTCTTATGCTCTGACCTGAAAGATCATTCATGCTGATGTCCTAGTTATCTGTTTATTTCAAAACAGTAATTGTAAAAAGTTACAACTGTGATTCTGCCTCTTTTTTTTTTTTTTCTTTTCACAAACCTAAGAAAAAGTCGACCTCTTCCAAATCAAACCAAATCAAATCAGAGTGTATCAAATCCAAAATACCTGAATCTATGTATCTGTGGTTTAGTTTTAAATTCCTCTGGGGATTTTTGTTTCTTTGTTGTTGTTTTTTCCTGCACCAACATACTAGTGCAGTCATGTTAATTTATCTAGAAAACAAATATCAAAAGGAACTAAAGCAAGTAGTTTTGATTTACAAGGGAATCTTTATTATATAGCAAGTAATATATCTAGATAAGACATTAAATAAGTCAGCAATAGAAGCTTATATAACTATTCCAGCAAGAAATGGATCCACTCTATCCACTCCCTGTTTGTTTTGCCACCTTTTGCATCATGCTGTTTTGCTTACAAGAAGCCATTTTTTTTTCCATTTGATATGTATGAATGGTGCATTAGACTGTGGGTCTATGGCAGAGGACCCATATTCCCAGACTATGTTTTGTTGTGGTTAAGTAAAATGGTGATTGTGTTGCATAATCTCTGTACACAACAAAAAAGTGAAGTTGTATGTGAGGCTGTGCAAGCTTCAGTTTTTACTAGACTATTTATCGATTTACGGATACATGGTTCAGCATCAGCCAGCTAAACAAGAACATCTGGTGAGATTTATACACTGCACCATGATGTCTGGATTTTCATTGTTCCTGGACTTAAACAAGCCTGCAAATCTACTCTTCCTGATATCATACTACTTATTTCAACACAAACATACATCGTTGTTCCTGTATGCAAAGTAGAGCAGATTCTTGTCTCTGAGTTTTGAAACTTTCTGCTGTAAAGTACTTTCCATTATTTATGTGCTGAGTGAGCACATGCAAAAAGGTCAGTAGAATAAATAATCAGGACATTTGTGGATAGAATTGCAAAATAGTTACCATTTTTAAACAGACAGGTTATTCAATGCTTCAAATGCTCCCTTCCCTCATAACCTGAAAGCCCTAGAAAATGCTGATAATTCTTGTGCTGCAAAGGATTGCCAAAATATTTGCTTCTTTCCATAGAGCAAGTGAGTGGTAGTGGGCCAAATCAAAATTCCATTGGAGTAGGAGTTCATATTTGCCTCTCAATTACCAAATTTCACACTGCTTCTATAGGAGGAATTCTGTACAGTAGCTTTAGGGTGTTAACAGACAGCTATATAGTGTTTTCAGCCACATAAGGCAAATCAACTTTATTGTTCCAGCTGGATGATCTTAATTTTTAAAATTTAATAAATTAGAAAAGCACCAGAGAATTCTGAGACACAAATGTCAGCTTAACTAGAATTCTTATTTTCAAAGTGACAAGCAGTTTCTTAAAGTTAAAAATACCTGTTTCACTACTCTGCATTTTTCTCAGGTGTTACCAGTGGAATTCAGAAACACTGATAACTTATTTTATTATTAACATATAATACTCCATACTTCTGCTACCACAATAGAGTAGTTTGATGATTTAGTATGTGTACACATATTTTAATAAGCTGCATAAGTCTTTATGCTATGCTTTCAAGATATGAGAAATTGTAAGATAAACCCAAGACATTTTTCATATTCTTCAGATTACATTAAAAGAAAACTTGGAATCTTTCTTGCACTCTGATTAATAAATTTATGGAAACAATATTGCTTAAATTATTTACGATGAACAAGGCAACAGAACACAGCAAAAGTGGTAAAAATCTAAAGGAAAATTTAACTAAAGTAGTGGTTGGATATTCAGAACAGCAGGTAATACTATTTGCAAACTAACAACAACAAAAGGCATACTACCTTGGGCATTGGAAATTCACATGCCCCTGCACAGTAGTAGGCATCAAATGATTTGGGAGATATGATCCATTCATTCCAGCCAATATCAGCAAAGTCAACTTTCATGTATCTTCTTGAACAAATCCTTGGCTCATTCCATTGTTTTCGCCTTGCTTTCTTCATTGTTTTCTCATCAAAATTCAGCACCTGAGACTTTGTAAGTGTTTCTGCATTTTCTTGCCCTTTTCTCCTTCGGTCTTTGCGTGAGGCTTTTGGTTTCAAGGACTTGTAGGCATTCTCCCATATGTCATGTTTGTTGTATTTATTGTTGTTATAATCTACTTCTGGCAACTCATTGTTCTGAATAGAGCTAGAGAGGTATGTATCCCTCCTTACTCGGGTATCAGTAGAAGCATTAGTGGATACATTTGGGTCCCCATCATTGGAAGGGAATGGATCATAACGTTGTAGGGTGACTGCCACACTGTTAGGTTCAGAGATTGCAAGATCATTGGCATAAACTAGTATATAAGGTAAATGACTGGTAACCTGTTCAGGGAAGCCCTGGTATTTCTCCCCAGTGTCAAGTTCAGCGCAGAGAATGAGCTCTCCAGCGAGTTTTGATTCTTTTATGATGTGTGCAATGTCCTTTGCATGCCAAGCCCCTCGTCTTTGAAGAAACATAGTGATATTCCCTTTCAGTAGTCCATAGGCGGAATTCTGATGAATGCTTTGGAAAATGAGATTGAGTTGCAGGATCGGAGGTGTGTGTAGGAGGCGGCAGGATGAGTTCTTGGACCGCTTACAAAACACTTCTCGGTGCCGAGGGCGTTTCTCAGTGTAGAAGTGAAAAGTGGCAGCAAGGATCATCTCTGAATCCTGCATGGATGTTAGATTGAAGCAGTACAATGGCTTCTGGGCCAAGAATTCTGCAAGAGAGCAAGGAGAATGTGGGTAAATATCTGAGACCAAAAATGGTAGTGAAACTCTTATTTCTGTATAAGTGGATTTACAAAATTTGCTTCTCACCTCCTTCAAATAAGTTAGGATAGTGAGCTTGTCACTTCAGCTTAAAACCATGGTGAATAAGATGAGGAAAAAACCCTGACAATAGTTAACAGCAATATTACAATAATATCAGGACTGTCAGGGGTACAACTCTTCCCAGAGAATTTCAGTTTCAGACTACCTTTCATTCCAGGCAGACAAGAAAAGCAATCCTCACTTGTATTTCACTTATAACATAATGAAGCTCAGAGAAGCTATCAAACTTGCTGGTGGCAGAGCTCAGAAATGGTGCCTTACTTAGGATCTAACAGCTGAAAACCAGGTTTACAGTTAATATTACAGTTAATATTCAAAACGGTCTAATCTAAAGCTGACTGCAAAGATTCCTGAATGACGTCTTGGTGCCAACTCTGGGCAACAGCATATGAAGTTCGTAATCTGTAAATAGTGCACAAGAGGCATTTCACAAGGGGGCTGGAAGTTAGCAGTACAACACATTCTGGGGCCTGTAACTTTTTTGAGCAATCCTCCTTCAAGTATACATTGTGTAGGGGACTTGTGTTTTGATCTGCTTGAAGTTAGTGAGAACTACTCTTGAATAGGAGTTGACTCTTAAAATTCAAACTCCATTTGATACAGCTTCTTTGTAGCTAGTTGAACAATTTGTGTTCAGGTTACATGTCTACCCTCCTCTCAAGGAAAATGAACAGTTTTACACTAAGAACTGTTTACACCATGTTTATTTAAACACCAGAAACCTCTCCTAGTGTGTTAAAATGTATTTCCAGAATCAAAGACCATGCCTTCCCAGCCTATCATTGCGAAAAGTTGCCTTTTTAAAAAATAGCTTAAGAGTATACAGGGAAGTGGTGGTAGAGCCAAGGAGTGATTCCTGTTTTCCCAAGCTTAGACTGGTACTTAGCATACGTTAAAGGACTACAATGGGTAAATCTGCATCTTTAGTTATCCCAGGACAAACCCCCTGGAAGCCCATCTTGGCATACCTGGAAATTCTCTGGCAGCAGGAAGAAAAAACAAAACCATGCAAAACCAAACAAACCCAGCATCCAGTCCTCCAAGAAATACTTAATTTTCTTTTCTAATGCACTGTGGATGATGAATCACAGAGATTTTGGCAATAACAGAAGGGCAGAACTGCCACCTGTCAGAATTTTCTTCCTTTTAAGCAAAGTTTCATTTGAAAGATTGAAATAAGTAGTTCTACATCTCCCTAAATTGGTGCTTGCTGTCTTCCAGTTCATGCTGTATAGAAGGACTATGGACTATATACCATTGCAGATTAGAATGTTCATCAATCCCAGGCCCACACAGACATTCTGAAAGTAGAAATGTTCAAGTATGGAATTTTCATCTACACCATCTGCATTTTTTTCCTGATTCAGTGAAGTGGAACAACCTGTACTGGTTTCATAGGCGGTGAAGAGGCTAACAGAAACAGTATTCCGTGATGAGAACTGCTTTTTTTCTGTCTCTTCAGGACAGGGTTTCTATCAGTAAACTTGTAATCAACACTACTCTTATGCACAGGTGTTCACACTATGAAAAAAAAGTAAGAGTTTAGATTCTATTCAAGTCTTTGAAGCCTAGAAATTTCACAAGACTGTTTTTCAGACCAAGGAGGAGAATAATCATCCTTTATAATGCCAGTTTATTTGTAATGCTTGTTCATTTCAGAAGCCATATTTTAAGGAAAAAAAAAAGAAGCCTATTCACTACCTATCCCCACCTTAGCTGTACAGAGTCTTAAGTTTTGGATGGAGAATTATCATATCATGCTTTTACTAGCCTATCAAGCAAGCATTTCCCAGGTCTACTCTGAGTAAAGCTATTAATATTTTACTGTTTTTATCTACCTCTGATACTGTAGGAAGTTTAAAATTAGGAATACAAGCAAGATCTGTGACTGATACATGAAAGAGATTTGCAGAGGGGGGAAAAAAAAAAAAAAGCAAGTGGCCAAAGAAAATATGAATCTTTAGTAATTCACACAGAAGTGTGTTACATTGCAGTATGTGAAGATTAGCAAAACAGATTTACATGGCATTTCTGATAACATATTTATGAGAATGAAATATGCAAAGAGCCTAATTTAAAATATTTTAAGATCTGAAATTACATTAAGGCAAGGCTCTAGAGGCCAGAATTATACTTCCTTAGGTAATCTTGATTTAATTTTCTTGCACATATGCATTATGATATAGTCTTAATTAAACAGCTGGTATTTTCTACTATTTACCAAGGCATTTGCTTCACTTAGCAGAGGATGGATGATGTTCAGGCAGTAAGTCTGAGCTGCAAGACTCTATGTGGAAGTTTCATGGCCTAGGCAGCAGGCAATCGATGCTTGAAGATGGACAATAACTTAGTATTTCATATTTGGCCACAAACCACTTATGACTTGACTGTGTAACCTCAGTCAATCGGTGCTATTTTATACAAGTACAAAGTTCCCTGAAAGCTGGAAAGCACCTAAAGAAAAAAAGAACTTGAGAAATTAGTTCGTAGACTCTCTCTCAGCTCCTTATTAGAGCAATAATGTACTCATATTAACACATGCAGGTGATAGGTGATCAGATATTTATGAAACACTCTTCCTGAAGTTATAAGTACTGCTAGAAAAACATGAAGTTATATCTGGGACACATGCATATATATAAGAAGTGCTCACATTGACTATGGAGAAATATTACATACTCAATATCGCTGTCAATACCATCTATATGTAAGGGTTATGTAGGATGGCAATACAATTGTGTAGTTGAAGAGCATCCCATAATGCATATGACATAGGAGCAAACTAAGTTTGGACTGAAAGTTTGCACCTCTGGTGCCCACATTTTGACAACTGTAACTAATGCTGATGCTCAAGTGTCCCCTAACAACTTTAAGCTGCACCACAGGAACAGAACATTACAGATTTTGTGAAAGGTACATGTTTAAAAAAAGGAAGAAGTCTATTGCTTAGGTTACTGGAATGAAAATTATTGTACATTTAGTCTGTTTTGCTTATTCCAATAGGATCAGAGTTATCATTCATATTTTATTAAAGAACAGATGTTCCACATGACTTGTTAGAAAAACATGCCTATTTCTTCTCTCAAAAGAAAACACTAGAGTTTCTGGGAGGACATAAAAGAAAAACATACCATCATAAAAGTCTCTTCTTTCCCACTCTGCAATTTGTGTCCTTCTATGGTTCATTTCAGACTATTCATTACTAGGTTGATGAATTACAAAGGAAAACACAATTTATTGTAATTTATTGTCATAAAAAACATGTCATGGGAGTTTCAGCTTTCAGTCTGTATTACTCAGGACAGATGGGATCCAGTACAAAAGGTACACAGATGGCACACAGGAGATAGGGTTTTGGACATAGGTGTGTTTCATTTCCATTGCATGGAAAGACAAGTTACTTCCAAGAATCTCTGACTTGGTTTCAAAATTATATTGGTTTGTAATTATTCAGTACAGTCTGTCTATGGGAAGAAAATGCTGCTCTTTTAGTGTTATAAACCCAAACTGAAACCACTTCTATGCAAGTAACTTGTTCGGCAGATTAATTGAAAAATTAAGAAAAATAATATAGTGCAATCTTTGCATTCTTGCCAAACCAGTCTTATGGTCCAGGGCTTTAGGTAGCAGCCAGTATCAGCTGCTCAGTTCACAGAAAAGTACAAATGATAGTAGGAGGTTATGGAATAACCATCCACAGTGGAAGTTCCTTCCTAACCTGTTAGCAGCTGCTAGCTGATGATCTAGAGCATGACAATTTATTTCTCTCCCAAATGTCTGTGATTGCTTGACATCCTAACTCCTACATTTCTAGACATTTTCATTGGCCACTTACCCTTCCATTGGGATCTTCTCCTCCTTGACTGTGAATACTTTGGCATAGGTTAGAAATTACATTGGGGTGCACAAGAAAGTATGAGTTATTGTGCAATATTGTAGTAACCATTCCTTAAAACACTGTATGCTTCATTGTATTCTATACATGAGACTTTTAACTGTAGGAGAAATAGACTGGAACTTACAAAAGCAAATTTTGAATTTGTCTATCAAATGAGCCTATTAAAAATGGGTATTGCTGGCTATGTAAAAAAATAAAATAATTGTATTTTAGAAACTGATGTAATTCTTATCTTAAGAGCTAAGATCTTAGTTGTAACCAGTAGTAGTTAGTAAGAGTTAACCAAGGAAGGAAGGCATTTTCCAGAAAAGCTATTTTGGGTTTCCTTGGCAAAGTATAGCAAATTTAGAGCATGCAAGCCTCCTCTTCTTATTTTTTTAGCAAGACTGGGATAATAAAGTGTTCTGACACAGTGTATATGCTCTTCCACCCTCATGATCAAGCCAAGTAAATCTGGGAAGAGGGAGGTCAAACATCTGTCTCCTTAGGTTTAGGCAGTGCAGACAATTTAAGATCCCGAGCCGCGTGAGGCGGTCCGTAGGCGGCAGTCTTCCTAACAGAAACTCGTGAGCCTGCGAGAGGAGCCGGAGGGGAGGACCCGCGGCTGAAGCGCTCGCTACTAGTTTTGTGCTCGAAGTATCTCTGAAAATATCTTTCGACACAGTGCGATGTGCACTGGGGATAGCGCTTCTTTTGCCGATTGATGGTTTGCGTTGGCAGCCACGGAGGCTTTGTGAAGGGAAATGCCGTGCTAGATGCTCTTGGGGGAGGGGATGGGGCCGGTGAAGCCGGGGAAGGTGGGAGACCTCCGCAGAGCAGAGGGGCAACACCGTGCCCATGTAGTTAGCAAGGGTCCCCGCAGTACTCACCCAGCCTGACACCCCCCGCAATCAATGACAACCTCGGCGCAAACCCGTCACTTTAAAGCGAAAGAGGAGCGCGGGGGCTCCGGCGGTGCCCCTCGCGCTCGGCCCGCTTACCCGGCCTGGCTTTGAAGCTGCGGACCGTGTTGCCGTCGCCGGGACGGCTCCCTTCCCGGTTGTACTTCTCGTAGAGCTTAAGCATGTGGACAGCTACCATGTCCTGCGCGATGCTGCCCAGCGCAGGGGGCGGCGAAGAGCCCCCGCGGCGGTCGGGGCCGCGGGAGGACGAGTCCCGGGCGGCCGTCGACTGGACGGGGCAGGCGGGCTGGCGGCCGGTG